TAGCATCCTTGGCAGGCATCCCAACCTCCATCCCTATTATTCTATTGTTACATGGCCTTATCGTACTGGAGAATGCCCGGTGTCCTATCTTCCCAGTAGCTACATGGCATCTTTCTGGTGGCTCCTCTCTGCCTCCTCTCCCCAGAATTCTCCTTGTCTGGTAGCCCCACCTATACTTCCTGTCTAGCTACTGGCCAATCATTCATCAACCAGTGAAACACATGTATACAAGGACATTCCCCCATCACAGAAACACATACACATGAATTTTTAAATCTTAAAAATTGCTGGGTTTGGAGATCATATAGCCTGGTGAAATTTTCTTAAGTTCCCTCTAGCTCTTCTGTGTGGGTTATGATGACAGTGACTTGGGCTGTATTTGATGGACTCAGGGTCACTTTTGCAGAAAACATGAATTCTTCACTTGGGCCATAGATGTCTAATGGGGACTGGGACTGGCTGAGGAGGGTTGCCACTTGTCTTCATATTCTCTCTGTCCCCTTTGCTGCCTTAACCTTTGTGTTAGTCTGCTTAGCTCTGCATGCGGACATGTTGATCATTTGGGAAACCTTACCTTGATATATACTTGCCTTGTGTCTCCCCCACTTCTCTCCCTCCTTTTTCTCCTCCCTCCTTGTCTTTCTCCCCACCCCAGCCCACCAAAGCTACACACACCCACAGCTAAGACTCAAAACCAGACTATGACAAGAATAAAAAGAAGTGGCATCCAAGCTCCTGGGTGATCCCTGCCCATTCCCAGGGATTAATGAATGGTTCCCCCCTTCCTGCCCACGTCTCCCCCTTACTCCTACTCTCTGTGTCTGGAGCTTTCTAGCCCTGGGATGGAAAAGCTCATTTGTGAGCAGAGTCTTCTCTCCTCCATTCTTCAGCCACTAAAAAGGAATTTTTAATGTGTGACCATTCATTTCTGTGATACTGGTTTTTCTATGTAATGAACATCCAGGCCTGGGCCCTGTGACATGAGGTATTTGGTCACCATGAATAGAGTAGACAAATACACCAAAGGACCCAAACATGACCTTTTTGGAAAACTAAGCCAATGGTTGAACGCAGATGTGGCTCTACATAAATATGGTACCCAGTGTCTCTATTATCTCTAGGGTGCCTCAGAATTACCTCCCACTGGAGTTAGTATCATCTTTTCCCTGCCTTCCTCCAAAACCCAGCTCCAGCCTCCCTGTGGCCCTCTGTCCTTATTCCTATCCAGTTCTTACCATGCCCTTCCTTTGACCCCCAGTCTATCTAAATTTTGTTGGGATTGCTTTCTTTTCTTTTTAGAGACAGCGTCTCCCTATGTTGCCTAAACTGACCTTGAACGCCTAGATTCAAGTGATTCTCCTGCCTCAGCTTCCAGAGTAAGAGGCTACTGAAGCCAGCCACTATATCTGGATTCAGAGGGATTCTTTAGAAAATGGTTGCCATGCCACTTCTTCCTTAATGGGCTCCATTTCTAGCATCTTCAGATGCAGTCTTTGTAAAGGTTTGTCTGGAGTAGGGGATAACCCACTGCAAGGAGAACAGCTGGATTCCCTGCTCTCTGCCCTGTCCTGGGAGAAATGCATTCCCTGTAGAGAACAATTGAGCTTATTATCCAGGCTGGGCAGGGTCTGAGGAAGACCTGACCCAGTAGTCACTTTCCTTCCATCTTCCCCTATACCTTGAGATTCCATTTCCAGCCTCCACACCTCACCCCAGCTACTCATTCATTGTGGTAGGATTGGTAAGGCAGCTTTTGTAAAGCAACAGGACCAACATAGACTTAGTGAAAATGACATCGATTTTGGAGTCAAGACTGCTGGGGTTTGATTTCCGGCTGTGAGCCTTTGGGAGGGGGAAGGGGAGGAGATGTCATGAGTGAGACCTCTCACCTGGAGCTTCAGCCCTATGACTGTCCCTGGACTTTAGTGTAGGAGTGAGGACATGAGGCTTTATCCTTTTGTTGTTCAAGGAGGTGTGCACTGGAGCAGAGCAGAGCAGACCAAGCCAGATTGGACCCCGAGCACATATTTAAGTGTCCTTTAAAAATTACATTCAAAACTTCCTTGTATATGTGCACGAACATGTACCATGCAGGAATGTGGAGGGCAATCTGGGGAAATTGGTTCTTGCTCCCGCCACCCCCCTATGAGTTCTGGAGATTGAACTCATCATCAGGGAGGGCAGCAAGACCATTTACCTGCTGAGCCATCTTGCCAACCCCACCCTGAGCACATCATTAAGAAGTCAAACCCTCTCTCCAAATACTACATTCCCAGATTACACATGGGTGACCTTGGCAATTGGCAGTGGGGCTTGGGGAATGAATGGAAGCATTTAAGGTCTGCTTGGGGCTTGGGGAGGGGGTACTAGGCTTCAGGACATCCTCAACTCTGTCATTGCTAGTTCTCCTGCTCCTTTGTATTTGTTTTTATTTTTGACAAATTTTGCCAGTCTTTCTCCTTCAGCCTCCCAGGGCTAAGATGAGCTAGTTCTGAGAGCCAGAATCCAATGTAGTGAGCCCAGAATTCCCTTCTGAGAGGAATAGTCCCTGGAAGTGTCTTTGCTGGCTGTTCTGTTGACCCTTGGTGATATCACCTTGGGTAGCACTCCATCTGCTTCCCTGGCTTCTGCTACTGTGAAACCTTAGAAAGGGATAGCCCAGGGAGATGGGGAGAGAACACAGGAGGCCCCAAGACCTGCTTTGTGTGTGCTGATGGAAAAGGGCAGAGGCAAGACAGCACCGGGAATGCCAAAAGTGGCATGGAGATTCTCCCACCTGTGGAAGTTTGGGCAACTGGTATTTGCCTTTGAAAGCTCCATTGCTTCACATGGAACATGTCATGGTAACAAAGTCGAAAAGCTGGAGAGATGATGAAATGTTACAGTGACTGCAAAAAAAAAAAAGTGAAAAAAAAAAAACCCTTATGGCTAAAATTCTGTGTTTGAAGCTAGGTAGTGGTGGCATACACCTTTGATTCCAGTACTGAGAGGCAGAGGCAGGCGGATCTCTGTGAGTTGGAGGCCAGCGAGGACTAAGAGGGAGTTCCAGGACAGCCAAGGACACACAGAAAAACCCTGTCTTGAAAAACTAATTAAAAAAAAAAAAGTTCTATGTTTGAGTTGGGCATTGTGGTAATTCCCACTTACTCAGGATGTAGAGGCAGGAGGATAGAATTGCAAGCTCAGCCAGTACTGCAAGGGAAGATTATGTTTCAGAAAACAAAACACAGCCAGGTCCTTTAATCCCAGCACTCAGGAGGCAGAGGCAGGTGGATCTTCAAGTTCGAGGCCAGCCTGGTCTATATACTGAGTTCCAGGACAGCCAGGACTATAGAAACAAGTCTCAAAACCACTAAATAAACAAATAAGCGCTGCAGAGATTTCTATTTCCCCAGGAACTATTTCAAAGATCATCCTCAACCCTCGAGCTCTCTCTTTCCTGCTCCTGTGATTAGAAGATTCATGTGTGAAAATGGGACCCCGGGAGCTAAGGCCTGGGGTCATTAGACACCTTGAAGGGGCCCTATACCATCTGTATTAGTTCACCAAGAGTGGAGTGAATTGGTGCAGCTGCAAAACCCAGCCTGGCCTCACAGAGGTTGGTACACTGGGAATTGTTTATTTCATTTAATAGAAAAAAAAAAAAAACACAATAGGACAGGCACAAAGACACAACACAGTCTCGTGGCAGTGCAGGGCACCTTCCTTGGCTTCTGCTGCTGCTACTTGCTGCTGCTTTTGGGAGGGGGCCTGTAAACCCCGACGACCACAGCGTGGTCCCTCTCGTAGGGCTCCAGAGTTAGCTGCTCCTGTGGCTTCAAGTTCTCCTGTTGCAGCTTCCTCACCTCTGAAGCAAACACAGCCTCCGCAGACGCTGTGGAGTCGATGCAGTTGGCCTTGATGGAAATGAGAAAGTGGCCTCCGTTGCGCAGAAAAGTGTGGGCATTCAGCGCCAAGATGCGGGACTGGTCCGGCTGGGCCACGTCAGCGAAGATCACGTCCACCATTCCGATAAGCATGCGGTATTTGTGTGGGTGCCGTGCATCTTCCAGTACCGGGATGATGTTGGTGCGTTT